CCAGTCTGTGGTCCTTCGATGCGGCAGCCTCAGCAAACTAGTAAATACAGTAGGCCTTCAAACCCTGGCAGAAGTGCCTGGATTCAGTAAGCAGGTGCATCTTTGAATCCTACTGATGGGGAATGAGATTTCTCTAGAGGTCCATTCATTTCAGCCAGATGCCTTTCCAGTCAGGCCATGTGGATGTGTAAGTGTGTTCTGAGATCAGCGGCATGGATTTCAGTGAGAACAGGGGCTACGGTTTGGTTGAAGGGGTAGGGGTTTGGGGTTAAAGAGATCATAACAAATGTGACCCTCTAGAGAAAGCTTATGGTGTTTCTGTCACCTTTTAACTAATCTGTAACTGGTTTCAGTGTGCTTAGGATGCGGGAAAAAGTGACGAGCCCGGGATGACCCAGTCCAGCTCTGCTCGCCTCCCTGTGACCCTCCCTGCATAGCAAAGGCCAGTGCTTTCACTGCAGTTGACTGGCAACCTCTTTTTTTCTTTTTGCTGCTCCCAGCTCATCCATTTCTAATGGTTTAAGTCCAACGTGCCCCAGACCTTCTCCCTCAGCTCTGCGATCTAGCTGGGAAACAGATAGGTCCCCACAGACCGTGCGTCCTCACTCAGCCTTGTTGGGTTGGAGTGTGATCGGCGCCTTGTAGCGTTCCCGCTGCGGAGCTGCTGAATACACTGAGTTACCCAGGCCCATCTTGCGCTCCCAGCCCCACGTGTTATAAAACCACATGCTCCCTTGGCTCACATCGGCGCCTGTGTTTGATGCTTTCCATAGAAATGCCAGAAACAGAGGAGAGATGTTTAAAAACAATTCATAAAATAGGTAGCCACACTGCCAAAGTGTCATTGATTCGTCCTGGGCAGTTTGCAGAAGTTTAGGCTGGTTCTGTGGCCACCCTGGCGGTGGTGAGAGAGTCTAGTGGCCGGGACAGCAGGCTCCCAGTGGGCTCTCTGGTTAACTCATGCTCTCAGGCAGCATGACTCTTTGGAAGCTTCTCCACTCTCCTCAATCCTCCAGCCCTCTGATTTTACAAGGGAAACAGAAGGCATCGGAGAGGAGTTTCCTTCATTTCCTAACACAGAAAATGAACCTCCTTGGATCTGTCATTAGCCAGTGTCCTGGGTTTTAGAGCTCTGTCTTCGCATCATCTCAGGTCTCTTTGGACACCAGTCATCGCCTCTTGCCCCTATTTTCAACCCCTCCCTTTCTCAAATACACCCAGGTCATTCCAATTAAAAACAAGTAAATGGGCTGGGCACGGTGGCTCAAGCCTGTAATCCCAGCACTTTGGGAGGTCAAGGCAGGTGGGTTGCTTGAGCCCAGGATTTCGAGACCAGCCTGGGCAATATGGCAAAACCGTGTCTCTGCGAAAAATATGAAAGTTAGCCAGGCCTGGCCTCATGTGCCTGTAGTCCCAGCTACCCGGGAAGCTGAGGTGGGAGCCCAAGCTCAGGATTGCCTGAGCCTGGGAAGTTGAGGCTATGCCACCGCACTCCAGTCTGGGTGACAGAGTGAGACGCTGTCTCAAACAACAACAACAAAACAAGCAAATGAACAATACCCTTACCTGATTCCCCAGCCAGCCACCCCCCATTCCTGTTGCCTCTTGCTTCACAGCCAAGCTTCTTGATGAAGCCATTCATTCTCTTCCCCACCCACCAGATGTTCAGACCCATCACTGGTCAAGTGACCCGCTGAATCACTGAATCAAGGACTAGTTCTCATCTTCTGTGAGTTTGAGACAGTTCTCAGGATTCTTCCTTTGCGGACACTGTCATCCCACGATGTCCATGATACAGTTCTCTCCTTCCTTTCCTTCACGCCTCCTCTGCTCCTACCTGGCTGTCCATGGTGGACGTATTGGCCAATGCTCATGCATTTTAGTTCTTTAGACTCTATGCTGGCCATCTTATCACACACGGAGTCAGGGTGGTGGCGACTTCTAAATGTGAGATGTCTTGCTAGGCTTCTCCTCTGAGCTCCAGATAAATGTATGTCATTGTTTGTATACTGTCTCTTCCTGTATGATCCAAGGGCACCTCAGAAAATTAACATGGCTAGAACCTCTCAGCCCCAGTCATCCTGCAGTGCTCCCTATCTCTGGAGATGGCACCAGTGGCTTCCCAGATGCCCGCTGCAGAAATCTCAGTGTCATTCTGGTTATTGTCACCTTCCTTCCTTGGGCGTCATATCCATCAGTGCATTCCACTGGTTTTTAGCTCTTCAGTTGTTCTTGAATCCACCTACTTTCTCAAACTCTACTTCTGCCATTCTGGTTCAAAATACCGTCCTGTCTTGCCTGGACAATTGCCAACAGCTCAACCTGCATCCATTCTTGTTCCTTCTAACCTGTTCTCATGCTGCCAGACTCATCTTTTAAAAATGCAAATCTAATCGTGTCCTCCCCATGGGGTAGATCCTTCCCATTGTTTTAGGATAAGGACAAAGCATCTGCATGTGGCCTTGGTGGGGCCAGGCCTCTTCCTGACCCACCTGCCCTGCTCTGCAGCCGTGGTGATCGTCCGGGCATCAGGACTAGGGTTTTTACTGTCTTTCTTCATAGATTCTGCTTGTCTTTCTTCCCTTTCAGATCTTAGCACAGGGTCATTTTCAGGGAAGCTTGCCCCCTACCTCTGCTCCTTCCATATGTATTGCATATATAGAGAATTTTCTGCATATTGTGGTGTTTTGACATCTTAAAAGACCTTTGTTGCTAAGAAGAGACCACCGCTCCCAGTGCTAGCCAATTCTTAGAGCTAGCAGGGCCCAGCTGGGGGTACCACCTTTGATATACAAAGAAACCAATCCAGGGCTGCCTCCTTTATCTGACCCGCCCATCCCTGGGAGCAATATTCCTCTGCCTGAATCCTCTCAGCGCCTGGTCACAAGCAACTCCAGACCACTCCTATAATTAAGAGACTGCCAAAATTATTCCAACGAGCCAGTCCTAAACTGTGTACCCGGCCTTGCCCAGCCATGGAAATCTCAATAAAGGTCTAGGCTCTCCTGTGGCTCCTGTCTTTTGAATTTTTTTTTTTTTTTTTTTTTTTGAGACGGAGTGTTGCTCTGTCTCCCAGGCTAGAGTGCAGTGGCATGATCTTGGCTCACTGCAGCCTCCACCTCTCGGGTTCAAGTGATTCTCCTGCCTCAGCCTTCTGAGTAGCTGGGATTACAGGTGCCCACCACTGTGCCCAGCTAATTTTCGTATTTGTAGTACAGACGGGGTTTCACCACATTGGCCAGGCTGGTCTCGAACTCGTGACCTCATGATCCACCCCACCCCCCCCAGCCTCCCAAAGTGCTGGGATTACAGGTGTGAGCCACCGCACCTGGCCTGTCTTTTGATTTTTAATGCCTGCATGGTAATGTGTCATATTGATGTACATTATTCTACTTAATTTAGGTTATTGTAAAAAATGTTTATGATTATAAAAATGCTGCAATTAGTATTCCTTGTGTGTGCAGAAATGCATAATTTCCCAAAGTGAAATGGCTGGATAATACTTTTTAGGCCTTAGGTCCTGATTCTCTGATAAGCCTCCAGAAAAGTTGTACTAATCCACACATCTATCAGTAGAGTAAGATAGTGCCTGCTTCCCTGAACCCTGGCCAACTTTGGCTATTATAAAATATAAACATGCAAGTAAGTGTGTGTACAGCCATATCTAGATGGAAATTTAATGGGTGGAAATGGTATTTAATTGTTTTAATATGCATTTCTAGTGCAAATTACTCCTGAGCGTCAACAGTTTTCTGTTAGCTGTTGGCGTTTTCTCTTTGTAAATTATATGTGATTCTCAGCATGGTTTTCTAAAGGGCTGTTTCTCGTTTTCATATTTACTTATAAAACCCTCTTTATGTTAAGCGCATTAACTTAGTTTTGTCATATATGCAAATATGAGCTTCTGTGGAACCCTTTCAAATGACTAGAAATTCAAGGGGGAGTTTAAAGAAAAAAACATGTGAAATGGGATGGTCAACTTATATTTCATTAATAAGGGCAGCAGGCTTCTCTCTTCCCTGAAAATTTTGTTACTCAAACTGTGTACCAAGAAGCAGATGTGTGAAAAAGAGTCTGGACTTTGAAGTTAGACAGACTGAATTTCAATCCTAGCAATGCCACTCTTTAGCTGAGGGACCTGGGACAGATTAGCCTCTGCGAGTCTCAGATGTCACTCCTGGGTAACAAGAATCCCTCTGGCCTTGTCTGGAAAGGTCAGTAGCTTATAGGTAGCGCTGGTGCAGAGGTGGTGGTCTGTAAATATTCATTCCCCTTCCGCATCCCTCAAAGATGTGTTGTTCTAGACACTTCTGTGTATTCTGTTTCAATAAGGAATGTATATATTTCACTCAGCTAGTAGTCACACATGAAATCATTCATTAATATTTTCCAGGCCGGGCGCGGTGGCTCAAGCCTGTAATCCCAGCACTTTGGGAGGCCGAGACGGGCGGATCACGAGGTCAGGAGATCGAGACCATCCTGGTGAAACCTAAGATGGTGAAACCCCGTTTCTACTAAAAAATACAAAAAACTAGCCGGGCGCGGTGGCGGGCGCCTGTAATCCCAGCTACTCAGGAGGCTGAGGCAGGAGAATGGCGTAAACCCGGGAGGCGGAGCTTGCAGTGAGCTGAGATCCGGCCACTGCACTCCAGCCTGGGCGACAGAGCGAGACTCCGTCTCAAAAAAAAAAAAAAAAAAATTTCCAAATAGGTAAATATGATAAACGTATAAATGAGAGTAGAAAAATTCTTAGTTAACCATGTGTATCTGAGTCTAGGAGCAATTTTAATTTTCAAGCTCAGGGATAATATTAGCAAATTAGGATCTGTTCTATAAAAGCGGTAGACAATGTAAGATATGGCATTCTGGAGAAAAATGGAACAGACGGCCTCATATCCTCAAAAATATTTTGATTTTAAACAGCTTTAAACAAAATCTCAAAATACTCGCACTCTTTCATTGAGAACTTAGGTCTCAATCTGTTCTTTTTTCCCCTCTAGGTGTGGCTGGATCTCCTAAAACCCATTGTGAAACAGATTAGAAGTAAGTATATACCATATGTTTAATAGTGATGTGAAATCTGAAGCCAGACAGTTTCATGTCTAGACATCTCTCGCCCTGTGGCATGAAGCACTGGAAACGCAAATTCTTCTACCCCATAATTGCTTTTCATCATCCACTAATCCATGTACTATTAAAATGTGTGTCTTCTGCAGTTTTAATGTGTAACAGTTTGGTAATCAAAACCGAGCTTGGAAAATAAAATATCGTTTTGATTAACAACTGAAGCCTGCTATTATCTTAAACCCCAGAATAATTGAGCTTGTCTTGTCTATGCCATTGTTCCTTTCTGTCACTTTCGAAGGGGAGAGGTGGAGCCATTTATTCCTAACATCGTTTTTAGGTTTTTGGTCCTTCCTCTTCAAAGCCTGTGAAATCAGAATGCAAGTATTGTTTGGTTAAAAGGGTCGCGGAAAATGTGTGTGCGTGTGTGTGTGTGTGTTTTTCTGAGTAGCAACAGAACCCTGAAGGGAGCCTGGCATGTATGCATTTAGACTGTGTGTTGGAAAGAAAAGATTAAGGAATGTGTAGGGGAGGAACAAAGAAAAAGAATGCTTGCTTTTTCTCTCTCTTCTTGTGTCTTCCCTTCTCTATTCTCAGATTTTTGTCAGGACAAAAATCTGAGAATACTGTGTCCTTTTAGTTGAGCAGGAAGCTTACGATACCTGAGGGATCATTTGTATGTCTGATTAAGAAACCCCACTGGGCCACTTACAGCAATTTATGTGGATATAATAAACACGCAGCACCATTTCTGCGTGGTCCTTGCACAATTGAAATTGATGTTGATCATCTACAATTTAAATTAGGCAGTTACTGACAATGAAATGGCCATCATTTAATATTTGCTGGGTGTCCCGAACATGCCTGGCAGGCAATGACTAATGTTGGGGGCGAAGAGAAGCCCCCCGGCCTCATGGGCCCAGGTAGCATAGAGTCTAGAAGATTGACATTTGTCCCCTGCAGGAAGGGAGCTGCTAACAGTGGGAAGGTATATCTTTGGCTCAGACCTGAAGACAGAGTTGACTGTGGTCGGGTCAGAGCTGGAGCATTAGTGCAGTTGTCTCCTCCATATACTGTGACAGGCCACGTGTGACAAAGCTGTCACTTGGCATTGAGTGCTAGCATCTTCCTAGTTTCAAGTTTTCTGAGGATCTGAGTAGCCACTCAGTGAAAATTGCAGAGAATAAGTAGCACAGCCTTCTCGTCTTCCTCATTTTGCTACTGTTATTTTGTGCTCCAGAATTGACATGGAAGAGTTTGTTAATTTTCATGCCTTGTTTTTTTTCTCCCGATTTTGTAGATATTGTCAACATCTTTATTTTATGTCATTTTTGCATTTTTTTAAACTTGAATATGTGATCACAGAAATTACAATACATAATTACTATTTGTATATGATCGTGAAACGTAAAACAGACATGTTTCTGCTTTTGTAATACTACTGCTAAAATTTGGATTTCATTATGGTATCTTATATTTCATAGAACATAAATATATTGCCATCATTCCAAATGGCAGACCTTTTAAGATGGCTTATATTGTAGCTTACGCGTCAAAACAAAAAAACCCCAACCCAAATCGCAGAGGATGATGATGATGACTATTATTATTTTTGAGATGGAGTCTTGCTGTGTCACCCCAGGCTGGAGTGCAGTGGCATGATCTCAGCTCACTGCCGTCTCCGCTTCCTGGGTTCAAATGATTCTCGTGCCTCAGCCTCCCGAGTCGCTGGGATTACAGGCGCCCGCCACCACGCCCAGCTAATTTTTGTATTTTGAGTACAGACAGAGTTTTGCCATCTTGGCCAGGCTGGTCTCAAACTCTTGGCCTCAGGTGATCTGCCCACCTCGGCCTCCCAAATTGCTGGCATTACAGGTGTGAACCACTGCGCCCGGCCACAGATTATTATTTTATAGTCTGTTTGTCCTGTTTTATTTCTTTTTTTTTCTTTTTAATTCTAAAAAGTTACTCATCTTATTCAATCTCTCCCCTGCCCTTGCTCCCTATCTACTTCCTGATTTTGTCTAAACTCATTGGTAAGAGGGTTTATAAGATACTCATAAAGGCCTTGGCTGGCTGAGACAGAGCCAGGGCCACGTCTGGTGTATCTTTTCCCCAGAGCTCAGAAGAGCACCAAAAGGCTGAAAACATATTTGATGAACGCATTTGCAACTGTACCTTATAAATAGTTAAATATAATGAATTGCATAACTGATGTACATTTTCATTATTTGGGTAAAAGTAGCCAATTAGATACATTTTTGAAGATAAATGACTTTATTTCAAAAAACCTAGATAAAATTTAAGTCTCCAGAGAAAAAGTTTAATAGCTCGATGTGGTACTTTGGTCATAGTATTTTTTTTAAAAACGAATCTCTCTTTCCCCACAATATGGAAGAGTGAATTAGTGGCTGAACCTGGCCAGTTGTTAAGTGACTTGGAAAATGGCAGATGTGCTCTTGGGAGCTTGGAATGAGATGCGTTATTTGTATTTGTAAAGTCTTTTTCTTTAATGGCATTTGAAAGACAAGTCAATAAATGCTTTACTTCTTTTTCTTCTTCTTCTTTAGGGCCAAAGCATGTTGTTGTTAAGTTTGTGGTGAAATTCTTTCCGCCTGACCACACACAACTCCAAGAAGAACTCACAAGGTTAGTGGTTTGGAAACTGTATATTTTTTTGCTACAGGGTACAGAGGAAAAGAGAAAATGAATGTTCTCAATTAATGACACAAACATTTTCATAATGTTTACTTGACCAGCATCTGTTCTGTACTGAACAGTTTAACCTTCCTCTTTCCCAGTCCTGCTTACAAAAATGGTGGAGGGGGAAGTACTGTTTTCCCTAAAGCCTGATTTCTTGTGATATGAAGTGAATCCTGGGCTTACACTCTGTTGATATCATATTTTCCATCTTATATGTCAATCATATTTTCCATCTTATATGTCACATCATGGACTGTTTTGGATGTGAATCTCTTCTGTGAAACCAACACGTCAACTCAGAGTTTATCTTTGCCGCTGCCGTGGGTGGTGGATTTGGCAGGAACCGGAGGTCAGTTCTCTTGAAAGTGGCTGAGTGGGAGAAGTGCAGGCGTTGAGTCAGACCTAGCTTTGGCCACCATCCTGCCACTTGCTGTGACGGGCCAGTTACTTTCTCCCTTTGTGTTGCCATTAATTCCCCTCTTACAGTGCAGACTCTAATGCTCACTTGGCAAGAGTGGTTTTGAGGATAAGCAGTATTATACTAGAGTAGCTGGGATCCAGTAGGGACACTGTAAATGGTAACTATCATCACCACCATTGTCATCACCATCACTGTTTGCATTGCCGTCATCATCACCATCACCATCGTCATTATCACCATCATCACATCATTACTTCTACTCATTTTATATATACTTTTTTTTTTTTTGCAACGAAGTCTCTCTCTGTCGCCCAGGCTGGAGTGCAGCGATGCAATCTCGGCTCATTGCAACCTCCGCCTCCCGAATTCAAGTGATTCTCCTGCCTCAGCCTCCTGAGGAGCTGGGACTACAGGTGCACACCACCACACCCAGCTAATTTTATATTTTTAGTAGAGACAGCGTTTCACCATGTTGGCCAGACTGGTCTCGAACTCCTGACCTCAAGTGATCCACCTGCTTCAGCCTCCCAAAATGCTGGGATTATGTGCATGAGCCACTGTGCCCAGCCTCATTTTATAATTTGAGGCAAGACTGTCCGTGTTCTAAAAGAGGGCAGAGCTGGCAGGAACATGTGTAGATAAAATGATTCCCTTTCAAGAGCATCCCTCAGAGGACACTCATCTGAGCAGCCTAATTCTTATCACACATGGTTTTCAAGCAGTGACTGTTTAATACCAAGGCCATCACATCCTTCCTTATCCCTCTCAGTACAGAGCACAGTATCTTGGGTCATCATTGATCATCATTTATCAAAGGGATGAAGATATTGATATCTTAGCAATATTTATTAAGTGTGCCCCGTGTGCCAGCATTGTTCTGGGCGCTGGGAATGCAGTGATGACAAGACAAGAATACTCTCATGGAAACAGAGAAAGCGATTCAATAAACAGGATAGTATCAGATAGCGGCAAGAACTCTTTAGTAATTGATGTAGGAGGATGTGATAGAGGTGCCTGGGTGATGACTTCAGCTTGCTTGGTCTGGGATGCCTCTTGAGGAAGTGAGAAGGAGCCATCAGTCATTTACTGAGAAAGAGCTTTCCGGAGAGATGGAGCAGTCAGTACTCTGCCCAAGGCGAGAGTCAGCTGCAAGCATTCAGATACATAAAGGAGGGCCAGCATGGCAGGAGCGTTGGGAGCACCATGGTGAGGTAGGAGTGAGGCGTGATGCACATAGTGTTGAAAGATCGGCTGCCATGTGGATGTTTTGGGGGGAGAAGCAGAGTCCCGGGGCATCCTGTGAGGAGGTGGTCACAGTGGTCTATTGCCATGATGGGGGCAAAGAAGCCGCCAATAGGTAGCAGTGGAAATGGAGGGAAGTAGTTGTGTTTGGAACAGGTACTGGAAGCAGGGTCACTCTGTCTTGGTGATGAGGTGGTGGTGGACTCTGAGGGAGGGAGAGGGGGCGCTTAGATTTTTGACCTGAGTGACTGGGGGGAGATGGTGTTAGGGGTTACTCAAGTGAGAAAAGGATGGAGGGAAGTGGAGGACTGCGGGGGGAGTGGAGAGTCAGGGTGTTTCTGGCCAGGTCACGTTTGAGGTACCTGTTAGATGTCCCATGACCACAGCAGCGGCAGGAAGGACAACAGATACAAGAACGTGCAGCTCCGGGGAGACAGTGATGAAGACTTCCCACTGCTTCATGTTTTCTGAACGAGTTGCTGCTAATCATCCACGTCCAGTTAGAATCCTCAAATCAGCAAAGAAGGCAAAGGCAGCCGGGAATTGGCAGCAGCCTTCTGGGAGCTACCTGCAGAGGAGGCACAGCCCGAGCTGCTAAGCCGAGCAACACAGGACGGAGGGCTGGCTGACCACAGGAGGGCCTTTTACTGAGGCTGCTGGGTCTTGGTTTACTGGGGCTGGTTTTCCTGTCGTTGAAACCTGCATTGCCCTGAGCTCTGCGTGCTGAAATAAATCTAAGGGCAGGTCCGGCTGTTGGAGGAATGTCGTCGTGTTTGGAATAAGCAGCGTCAGTAGCGTGCCTTTTCTTCTTGTGAATCAACAGGCCTCTTTCTTGCTCAGGAAGTTGGAGGCACAAATCCTGTATCCCCCTACCCCCCGTTTTTTTTTTCCATTAAAAATTCTGTTTTGCAAATAGTTTTGCACCTTTTCAGTGTTTGTGAATCACTGTCTCTAGAGGTTTGCAGTTGTCTACCAGTCTGGCCCTTGCTCTGAAACTCCATACAGCTTGTTACCATCAAGCCGCATGTGCCCGGTGCATGGCCAGCGCCTCTGTCAGTGCTGAGAAATTCCTCAAGTTACACGAGCTCACCTGGACGGAGCAGGGTTTTGTTGGTTTTGTTGTTTTTGTTTTCTGGCACCCAGTGTGAACTGACATTTAAGAAGTCTTTTCCAAGGAGACAGTTCTTTTGGCTCACTGTTGAATAAAATTGATCTGAAATTGACCTGAAATTCCTAAGGTATTTATCGTCTCTCCATCACTCCCCACTTGGCACAAGGCACAGAGAACCTCACAGGGCCGATGTGTTGGGACTCTCGCATCTCAAATTCCTATAGAAGCAAAAACGGACTGACTATTGAGATTTCAGGTGCTGTTCTTTGGCAGATGGTGAATGAGGGGATGTTGGGAGAAGCTGCATGTCAGCTGTGCTTTGTGATAAGGGATGCATATACAGAAGTGGGACAAACAGAGAAACTGGCCTGTGGTTCTGCAAAGCATAAGTGACTCTAGCCCCGTAGTTAATGCCTTGGGCCTCCAGGAATAGCTCTCTCAGCTTCCCATTGATATAGATAGGAGATTAAATTGCAGTCTGCTGTTAAACAAGAAGCTGGATTCTTTTCTATTTATTGAACTGCAAGTGGAATGCCATCCTATTGACAGCAGCACCCAGACATCTAGAAGGAGAAGCGTATTGACTCCTGGGTGCAGCTTGAAAACAGCAAGTGGGGTCTTTGGAAAAGATGATCCCAGTTTTTCTTTTTCTTTTTCTTTTTTTTTTTTTTGAGATGGAGTCTTACTCTGTCGCCCAGGCTGGAGTGCAATGGCATGATCTTGGCTCACTGCAACCTTCGCCTCTTGGGTACAAGTGATTCTTCTGCATCAGCCTCCCAAGTAGCTGGGACTACAGGCACATGCCACCACGCCCAGCTAATCTTTGTATTTTTAGTAGAGACGGGGTTTTACCATATTGGCCAGGCTGGTCTTGAACTCCTGACCTCATGATCCGCCCACCTCAGCCTCCCAAAGTGCTGGGATTACAGTTGTGAGTCACTGCGTCCTGCCAGATGATCTCAGTTTTTCTTATTGCATGGCTTGGAGTCACTTTCCTTGTGCCCAGTTTAGCCACCCTTTGTTCTTCCCCTTTTCTCTGGGCATCCCGTCTTCAGTTGGATCCAGCTTCTACTTGCCTGTGTTCTTATAGGTGAGGGGACCCTATCAGAACCTGCTGCTCTGCGCCCTGCGCGTCCTGCTGAAGTGTTCTCTTAGACTGCAGGGGAATTGTAAATTGCTTATATTTAATAAGAAAAGAGAAGACGGTGGTCTTCCAGATGAAATAAATTACTCTTACTGAAAGCAAGGCATCAAATAGGTGTGATGTGTGACTCTTGCTGTCCCTAGAAGTGAAGTCCCTCTGTCTGCTCCTGCCACAATCATTGCCACTCTCCTCATGTCCACCCTTCTGCTAAGGAAACTTGATCACATTTTGAGCACTTTATGTTTTCATTGTGTCTTCCGGTTTAATTTTATTTAGTGCCCAGCAAGTAAAACTTAGCCTCTGGCTCCTGTGAGACTGATTGGAATTGCTTCAGTGGACAGTACTAAAGGTGTTGCAAAATCTCTAAAGTTAGCATCACGGCCAGCGTGCTCAGCTTACAGCTCATGGTAAGAAAAGTGGACAGAGTTAGTACCCAGGAAGCTACTTCTCATGTTACAAGGGCCTTGGAACAGGAAGAGGCCACGTAATCAGGGGAGCCACGTTCTTCCCTCAGCCTTTAAAATAACCATGTGCCCTCCTAGTAAATGTGTGCGTTTTCAGAACCTGATGCCATCTTGCAGCCCTTGTGCGATTGTCACCAAAGGTCCCCAGAGCCTGCCAGACTCTGCCCGTGCATTTGTCCCTGAAAGCCTCTTTGCGAACACAGAACCTCATGTTTGAGATGATAAATGGTAAAATATTCAGAATGTCCTTTTAAAGCAGGTAAAATATTCAGAATGTCATTTTAAAACATGAAGCCCTCCTGTTTAATGAAAAACCAACCACACAGATTAGAATTAAAACCTGTAGCTCTACAAAGTGTTGGGCTCAAAAGACAGTAACTATAATCCAGCATGGTAGTTTGTATTCCCTCCTACCATATGAGGTTTAGATTGTTTTCTATTCTCTGCTTTTCTTCCTTTGACTTTCCAGAGACAGACATACACACACACACACACACACACACACACACACACACACACACACACACACACACAGAGACAGAGCGAGAAAGGGGGTTGGGAGGAGAGACAGAAGGGTAGAGCAAGAGAACAGGAATAAAATTAGGGAGGTCAGAGAAAGGCCTACTGGTAGGTCTGTAGTCTGTAGGGTGCTTTTTGCTGGTTATACAATTGCTGCTGTGGTTTTTTAGTTCTTAATAATAAAACTTCCTAAATGACTTAAAATGGATTATTTTATTTTTAAAAACTGCCAACTTTTATTGAATATTTTTGTTCTAATAGTGTTTTCCATGTATCTTATTTAATTCTTATGGAAACCTCTGTGTCTAATACTGTTAAAGGCCCTTTTGAAAATCAAAAATACCCTTTCATTATTTTTATAGTAGTAAATATACATTGTAGAAAGTTAGAATAGACATATGAATAAGACTAAGAAAGTAGAAACACTGCATTCCCATTGCCCATCAGATTAGTAAGATAGCCTTTCTGAATTTTTCTATGCATGCATATGTACTTTTCATCTCATCTAATACATTGGCCATATTCAAATTTCCCTATTTATCCCCTAACTGCCCTTTATATCTGTTTATTCTAAAATAAGATTGGCTAGGCACAGTGGCTCAGGCCTGTAATCCCAGCAGTTTGGAAGACTGAGGCAGGAGGATCTCTTGAGCCTAGCAGTTTGAGACCAGCCTGGGCAACACAGGGAGACCTGTGTCTACAAAAAATTTTAAAAAATATCTGGGCATAGTGGTGTGTACCTGTGGTCACAGCTACTCAGGAGGCTGAGGCAGGAGGATTGCTTGAGGCTGCAGTGAGCAGTGATTGCACCACTGCACTCCAGCCTGGAAAAAAGACCCTGTCTCAATCAGTCAATTAATCAATCAATTAAAAACAGATCCACTCTAGGACCACATATTGCATCTAGTTAACATGTCATCCAGACCTATGTAGGTTAGTCCCTCATTTTCTTTTCCTCATGAAAGCATCTTGTTGAAGAAATTGGACCAGCTACAATACCCTACTTTCTGAATTTGCCTGCTAGCTTTCTTGTGGTGCTGTTTAACTTGTTCCTCTATCCTTTGAATTTTTCCAAAACTGGAAGTCATAATCTATTTTATGCTGCTATATAGGAATACCCGAGGCTGGGTAATTTATAAAGCAAAAAAGTTTATTTTGCTCATGATTCTGGATGGCTAAAAAGTTCAAGATTGGGCATTGGCATCGGTGAGGGCCTCAGGCTGCTTCCACTCATGGGTGCAGGCAAAGGGGAGCCGGCATGTGCAGAGATCACATGGTGGGAGAGGACGTGGGCAGAACGGGGAGGTGCTAGGCTTTTTGTAACAACCAGCTCTCACAGGAAGTAACAGAGTGAGAACTCACCCCCAAGGGAGGGCATTAGTCTATTCATAAGGGATCCACCCCAACGACCCAAACACCTTTCATTGGGTCCCACCTCCAACATTGAGGATGAAATCTCAATATGAAGTTTGGAGAGGACAGGAAATTGATTCTGGGGCTTGACTGACACCGTTGAACATTTGGGCTGGAGTCTGTCATAAGTGATGTTGTGTGCTTCATATTTCATTAATGATTAGAGATTGTTCATTGCATTCAGGTGGTGACATTCTGATTACTCCATTGTAGGTAAAGTCGTGTTACCTTTGCCCTATGTGAATGTCCAATCCCCTACATGGTTTTTTCACCCATTGATAATCCTTGCTGGAGGATTATCAATGGTTTATCAATAATTTCTTTAGAGTTTGTGGAATGAGGATTTTCTAATTCTGTTATTCTTGCTATGTTATAAATTGGCACTTACAATTTTTTGCCAAATACTTGAGGCAAAATTTTACTTTATGGGAGATAAACCTGTAAAACCTTTCTTCAACTTCTTGGCTGTCCTGAAACACCCTTTCCTCTGGCCAGGCAGCTTACACACTCAATTCTTTGCCTTGAGTTACCAATTTTAAATAAGGAGATGCTTTGATCTGCCTGGAACCTACTATGTCTCCAAGGCCCTATCTCTCTGTCCTTCCAACAGGTAATTGTTTTTTGTTGTTTTTGTTTTTGTTTTTGTTTTTTAATTTTTTGTTGTTTTTTGAGACGGAGTTTTGCTCTTGTCACCCTGGCTGGAGTGCAATGGCACGATCTCAGCTCACTGCAACCTCCGCCTCCCAGGTCCAAGTGATTCTCCTGCCTCAGCCTCCCGAGTAGCTGGGATTACAGGGGTGCACCATCACATCCAGCTAATTTTTGTATTTTTAGTAGAGACGGGGTTTTGCCATGTTGTCCTGGCTTGTCTTGAACTGCTGACCTCAAGTGATCCACCCACCTTGGCCTCCCAAAGTGCTGGGAGCCACAGCATGCGGCCCCAACAGGTAATTGTATGAGGGACAGAATCTGATTGCAAAGGGTGCTACTGAGAGGACGCTGTTCTCAGGCCGCAGGTAAACTAGATTTCTAAAAATCAGTTTGTATCATTATTTTCACATCCATTATAACATTGTACAGGTTTGGTTTGGTTTTGTGTTGTTGTGCTGGGGCGGGGGGCGGTGGTATCTATGACTTTATATATCCTTTGTGTTACAAGCAGTCCAATTATACTCTTTTCATTACTTTTAAAGTATAATAAATTATTATTGACTATAATCCCCTGTTGTGCTATCAAATATTAGATCTTCTTCATTCTATCTCACTTTTTTGGACCCATTAACTCCCCATTCCCTCCCACCCCCTACCTTTACCAGCCTCTGGTAACATCATTCTACTTTCTGCTCCATGAGTTCAATTGTTTTAACTTTTAGCTCCCACAAATAAGTGAGAACATGTGCAGTTTGTTTTTCTGTGCCTGGCTTATTTCACTTAACATAATGCTCTCCAGTTCCAATCATGCTGTTGCAGATGACAAGATCTCCTTGTTTAAGGCTGAATAGTAATCCACTGTGTATACATACCCCATTTTCTTTGTCCGTTCATCTGTTGATGGACACTTAGGTTTCTTCCAAATCTTGGCTGTTGTGAATGGTGCTGCAGTAAACATGGGAGGGCAGACATCTCTCTTGACATACTGTTTTCCTTCCTTTTCGGTACACACCTAATAGTGGGATTGCCGGGTCATATGGTAGCTCTATTTTTAGTTTTTTCAGGAACCTCCACGCTGTTCTTTATCATGGTTGTGCTAATTTACATTTCCACTGATAGTATATAAGGGTTTTTTTCCCCGCCATATCCAAGCATTTGTTATTGCCTGTCTTTTGGACATAAGCCATTTTAACTGGGATGAGATGATATCTCATTGTAATTTTGATTTGCATTTCTCTGATGATCAGTGATGTTGAGCACCTTTTCATATGCTTGTTTGCTATTGCACAGTTTTTACTTAATGTCTTTGATTTACAAATATCTTTTTTCTCTCACACCAAAAATGTTGACATGCTTAATACCATAATATAAAGAAAAGAATTGACCGGGCGCAGTAGGTCATGCCTGTGATCCCAGCACTTTGGGAAGCCGAGGTGGGCAGATCATGAGGTCAAGAGATTGAGACCATCCTGGCCAACATGGTGAAACCCTGTCTCTACTAAAAATACAAAAAATTAGCTGGGCATGGTGGCGTGTGCCTGTAATCCCAGCTACCAGGGAGGCTTAGGCAGGAGAATTGCTTGAACCCGGGAGGTGGAGATTTCAGTGAGCCAAGATTGTGCCACTGCACTCCAGCCTGGTGACAGAGCAAGACTTTGTCTCAAAAAAAAAAAAAAAAAAAGATAATGGATTTTTACAAATCTGGTAACTGGGTCTTACGGAAGTAGTTACACCACAAAAAGACACCCCCTTGTTTTTCTCATTTCATTGGCAATCCTCTGACTCATCATAATAAATTGCTGTTATTGTCTGAGCCATAGAACCATGTTAGAGTATGGATGAAGGATTCTGTGAAAAAAAAAAAGGTAAATATTTCCTATACCCTGCAAAAATACATAGCATACTAGGTTATGGTCTCACATTTTTATGGCTCTCTCTCCCCATATAAAATGAAACATATTATTCATACTGTGAAAAGATGGTAGCATATGTCTCTTTGTATTTTGGAGGGAGATACTTACACTGTGGTGAATGGCAGCTGGAATCCATTCCAGCCCATGCAGACTTCCTGGTTGGGGTTTGCAACCTTCTCCCTGGCCTCTCACAGTGAGGCCAGGTTCCCAGAGACCTCATGCCCTCTTTGCCTGACGCCCAGCTCTGTCGATCTTTGCAGGTACCTGTTCGCGCTGCAGGTGAAGCAGGACTTGGCTCAAGGCAGGCTGACGTGTAATGACTCCAGCGCAGCTCTCTTGATTTCACACATTGTGCAATGTAAGTTCTACTTGTTTCCTTTGAAAATCATGTTTGAAATTACACAGTGATCCAATTGATGGGAAAAAAAATCATATCCACCGAAAAAGAAAGTGTCGATATCTTTGTGTTATTTTTGCTGTTCGTATGAAGGCCTGCGGGTGGAAGAGAAAAACAATACTCCTGATGTCATTTAATATGCATATCCCCAAATGTTAACCCTTGTACTTCCTGTTCAGGTGTTTGTCTTTCTTCAAGGACTAGTACACAGTTGATACTTCAGTTGTCTCAAAGAATAAGCTTGGATGGATGCTTGCCAAATAGACTAAACTTGTTCTGTCCTTTTCGTGGATTTAAACTTTATCATTGAATATGGCATAGTAGCCTTAAGACATAATACTGCCACAGATTTCACTTCTCTCTAGAGATTCTTGCTCTCCAGAATTCAGTAAATCAAGACTCATGCTGGGTTAATGGAGCTGGACCCCGGATGTTTCAATTTGCCTTAATACAGACAAAGGATAAATCAGATTGTGCTCATCTCAAGGCTTGCTGATAAGCCACCTGGGTGTGTTTTCCCTCTTGACCAAGGCAGAAATTACTTGAAATAAAATATACACATTATGTTTCGGAAAGGTAATTGTGAGTATAACGCTCAGTGTATAAGCACTACTATGAAGGAAAGTTGTGTTATCATATCACCTTTTACATTTCCACTGTATATGAATTAGTCTCATATAATCAGTCCCCTCCTATCCTGATATGTGCCTGGTTAACTAGATTTACAAAGGTTTATAGGAAGTGTCACTCTTAGTAGTCAAAAAATTGCCTTAGTCTAATACAGTAAGGTGTTTCAGTAGATGATGCGTATCTTCTTGTTTTTTGAATATGATCACTTAATAGATAGGTGTTTTCTTACCAATTTGAAAAAAGTGACATGGGCAAGAAAAAAAAATAAGTATCTTTATTAAGCCTGACCATGTGCCAGCACTATATATATATGTATCTATATCATCTCATTTAATTGTCCTAACAGCCCCCGAGATCAGGTCTGTCATTATCCTGATTTTACGGGGGAGGAATCCTTAGCACAGAACTTAACGTAATTTTTACCTTTGGAGGGAGAGGAGGCTTTGAGTCTGGCTGACCTGATTTCTGGTTGGTGACCCTGGCAGGTTACTAACCCCCCAGCCTCCATTTCTTTTGGAACATGAGAATACTAGAATGTTTTTCATAAGGCTGTAAAAATTAAATGGTAGCATATACAGTTGTCCTTTAGTATCCAGGGGGTATTGGCTGCAGGACCTCCCAAGGACACCAAAAACTGAGGATGCTCACGTCCCTAAAATGAAATGGTGTCATATTTACATATAACCTACATATATCCTCCCATAGACTGTAAATCATCTCTCGGTTACTTATAATAATGAATGCACTGTAAATGCTATATGGTTACATTGCATTATTCGGGAATAATGACAGAAAAAAATATCTTAGATGTTTGGTACAGATGCAGTATTTTTTCTTAAGTATTTTCAATCCATGGTTGGTTGAATCCATGAATATGGAACCCACAGATACAGAGGGCCAGCCATACCCAGTACATACTAGGTGCTCAGCAAACATTAATTTCCTTTATCCTTATTCACCTGCAATCCTCCTTTTCCAAACAATATGAAACTTTAAAACGAAGCTTCCTTCTTGAAATAGTAACTTCATAAAATGTCTCTGACCCTTGGCATTTTGTAAGCAGAAGAGAAATTGACCTTACTCAAAGATTCCTGATGCCATTTAGTTGTGTACTTCCTTCCTCCTATGTTTTTTTCTTTAAAGATCTGTTACACTAAAGAGTAGATTTTGGCCAGGCGCGGTGGCTCACGCCTGTAAGTAATCCCAGCACTTTGGGAGGCCGAGGTGAGCGGATCACTTGAGGTCAGGAGTTAGTGACTAGCCTGGCCAAGATGATGAAACCTTGTCTCTACTAAAAATACAAAAATTAGCTGGGTGAGGTGGTGGTGGGTGCCTGTAGTCCCAGCTACTCGGAAGGCTGAGCCAGGAGAATCGCTTGAACCTGGGAGACACCCCACTGCCCTCCAGCCTGGGCGACAGAGTGAAACTCTGTCTAAAAGAAAAAAGAAAAAAGAAGAGTAGATTTTAAGTGTTCTCACCACAAATATATATATATATATATATATATGCCGTAATACGTATATTAGCTTAATTTAGCCATTTCACAATGTATACATATATCAAAAGATGATGTTCACTATAAATATATACCAAAAAAATTTTTTTGTTTTTAGACAGAGTCTCTGTCACCCAGGTTGGAATTTAGTCTGTCAATCACAGCTCACTGCAGCCTCGACCTCCTGGAATCAGGCAATCTTCCTGCCTCAGCCTCCCAAGTAGCTGGCACTATAGGTGCGTGCCATCAGGTCTAGCTAATTTTTTCTTTCTGTCTTTTTTTTTTTTTTTTTTTTTTTTTGGAGAGCTGAGGTCTCACTATGTTGCCCAGGCCAGTCTTAAACTCCTGAGCTCAAGCCATCTTCCCACCTTGGCCTCACAAAGTGCTGGGATTCATAGGCATGAGCCACCATGCCTGACCAATATGTATCATTTTTATTTTGTCAATTTAAAAAGTGACTTAAAAAAATAAAGATCTGTTAACAATAGTGAATTTCACTCGCATATCTGGGAGGAGAGATTTGCTGACATCCAGAAAACCGTGGTCTCAGTCTAGTATACCATTTTCCCTCCCAGAAACCAGCAAGTGGCTCAAAATCCCCAAAGAATCTTCCCTTCTCGAAAGGCAAATAGATGGGTTCAGAAGTTCCCCTGCTGTTTACATGATATTCGACATACGGTCATGAGACACACAGTATTCTTAAAATCTTACGATATGTGTAAGGCCCCATTTCTGCATTTTTTTAAGCATCCCATGCACTCAGTCATGAAAGGAGGCATTTCATAGAATCTTCGCTGGATTGTGTCGTGGTTTCAATTATTGGTGATTATTGGTAAGGTATAAGGGGTCAAGTCATCTCCCTTTGGCAGAAACTATATTACCGTTAATGGAAAATTATCTCTGGTAAGCTGATGTTTATCTTGTCCGTCTCTGTACACCCAAGCTGATGTCTTATTTTCCTGCCTTCTTTCGCTTGAATACATGGACTCTTTAAGATAGTCTGTATTTTTTCATTTGTTCCTCCGTCACTGGCCTTGTATCTTCCCTGCAGTATTTTGAACTTTCAGTTTTCTTTAATTTACTGTGGGTTGACTAAGAAGGACAAACTGATGAAGAGAAGAATCATCTACTAGTTGACACTGATGTAAAGGTCACACGTGGGCAGCATGGAGGCGAGGCAGGGCTGTGTTTGTGCAGGTCGTGTGGTCCCTGCTCTGAGGGTTCCGCGTGGTAAGGTGGGTTTGTCCACGCCTGTCCTCTGGGGAAGTTCCATCCATTTATTAAAATCACAGGATATGGGTTTGCTGCTGTTTTTCCTATTAATTATTTTGCTGAGTAGACTGCTAAGGAATGTAGTATATGCATAAGCTGATGTGATATTTTCAGCATAAAACGTGTAAAATATAGGAAGTCAGCTGGGCGCAGTGGCTCATGTCTGTAACCCCAGCGCTTTGTGAGACCCAGGCAGGAGGATCTCTTGAGGCCAGGAGTTCGAGACCAGCCTAGGCAACATAGCAAGACCTCATGTCTACAAAAACAAAATTAGCTTGAGGCCAAGAGTTCAAGACCAGCCTGGGCAACATAGTGAGAGCCTGTCTCTACCCAAAAAAAAAAAACAAAAAAAAAAAATTAGCCAGGTGTGGTGGTATGTGGCAGTAGTCCCACGTACCTGAGAAGCTGAGATGGGAGGGTCACTTGAACCCAGAAGTCAAGGCTGCAGTGAGCCATGATCGCTCCACCGCACCCCAGCCTGGGTGACAGAGCAAGACCCCGTCTCAGAAAAAAATAAAAGGAAGTCAGATCTTGAGTATGTGTCTGTTTTCAAATTCCAGAAATTTAAGGAGCAGCCTATTTCCATATTTCAAAGAGGAGAGATGTGAGGAGCGAATAAGTTTCATAGTCATGTCACTGTGGAGTGACAGGAGGGCAAGAAAAGACAAGCGACCCAGAAGAAAAGAGAATTAGGTGTCCCCACCCCGATGCCATAGGAAAAACTGGACCATTTGGCCATCTCTATATGGAATGATGGGAAAGAGTGTGTTCTGAGAATCATAGGAATTAAGAAGCCCAAACATAAAACTCACAGGACATTTCGGATTTAAGGAATTCCTCCATAGACAGTCAAAGCTCATTATTCTCAGATTCTGTCTTTGCAGATTTGCTTATTTACTTGTAACCCCCAAATGAACACTCATGTGCTTTCACGGTCATTTGTGGATATGCCCAGGATGGTGAAAAATGGTAGTCACCTGATGTGCATTCCTAGTGGAGGTCAAATGAGGCAAAGCTCTGCCTCGTTTTTTCTCGTACTGTTAATAAGTATCCTTTTTATGGTCTATTTAGTGCCACACTTCTTGCATTTTTGTGTGTACTGTTGGTGATTTCACTGTTTAAACAGTCCCCAGGCGTTGTGCGGAAGCGCTGTCTTGTGTCCCCGCGTGCAGCGCCATCTGCCTGATAGAGCAAATGTGTGTTAGGTAAGCGGCATTCAGGCATGAGTTCAGCTGCTCTTGGCCATGAGCTCAGTGTGAAGAAATTGGCAATGTGTATTTAAGATGGCTTTCAACAGAAACACACATAAGACACGGCCAGTTAACTGAAATGTTGTTTCAAGACTACTGGAGGAAGCTCACCCCATATTTCCCCTAGGAGAAATGATTCAGGAATGGCTAATTCAGTGTTTATGGTAACCTTATAGATCATAACTGCCTCGAATAATGAGCATCAACTCCATTTCCTTGGGACCAGATAGAAGGAATTGCAGAGAAGCCAGGCCCTCTATTGTCAAGGCGACAGATAATGATGGCAGTATGACCAGGCATGCCCCCATTTCTGTGCCATTTTCTGTGATGGAGGGTGGCAATTTTACTCTATTTAGGAAGAGAGAAATCAGTCCAGAAAAGGCAGTTAGGAAATAGTGTTGTTGGTCTTTCGGATGATGAGGAAGCAAGCAAGGGAGGGGTTCTTCCAGTGCCCCAGCTGCTGCCAGGTGTGGTGGCATGGCTTTGTGCAGAACAGATATCCTCAGTGGGTGTGATTGATGACAACACCCAGGCCATGTCCTGCTTGATTATTGGAGTGCATTGCCCTAGGTGTGACAATCTGCTTCATGTGAAAGAATGAAAGGTGAGTTTCATAGCAACAGTTCCCTTGGTTTTTATCGAAACAGCTGGGCTCAGGTCATTAGGCTATTTTTTATTAAGCTTGTTTTACAGTATATGTGATACAAAGAAAAAGGTGTACTGTCTCAGAGGTGTAACAGTGGGTGTACACTGACCTTGAGCTAGTGTTGTTAAGGCGCAAGTCTGATTTTAAAGCTCTATCTATCCTTTCCTTTCCACATTCCAGCAGTATTGAGGACTGTCTTGAGGTTATGCGAGAAAACAAGGTTATGTGAGAATCATATTTCTCATAGATAAAAACGTGTAAGACTTTGCAATCTGATCTGTTATTTCTCACAAGACTGCGAAAAGTTCAATAAACTCTTATAATTTTTTAAGTGTTAGATTATCTACCTTTGCACCCACTGACAATCCTCCTTTCTCTACATGATAAAGCATTTGGGTTTTGCACTAGTCATTGCTAATATATAAGTTTCACTTTGATTTTTACAAAGTCCTGAAGTTTTAGGGCTTGTTAGGAGGTCATACGGTTACCACCCACATGTGTAGAATTTACTGCCAGGTGGATGGGGAGAAAAGAAAAACCAGGAGCAGGTATGGCTGAAGATGGATGATTCTGAGGTTTTTTTTTTTTTGGACACGGAGTCTTGCTGTGTCGCCCAGGCTGCCGTGCAGTGGCGTGATCTCGGCTCACTGCAACCTGTACCTCCCAGGTTCAAGCGATTCTTCTGCCTCAGCCTCCCCGGGAGCTGGGATTACAGGTGCCCGCCACCACGCCCAGCTAATGTTTGTATTTTCGGTGGAGATGAGGTTTTGCCATGTTGCCCAGGCTGATCTCGAACTCCTGACCTCAAGTGATCCGCCCGCCCTGAACTTCCAAAGTGCTGAGATTACAGAGGTGAGCTACCGCGCCTGGCCTTGAAGCTTCTTTCCGACTGTTAGAGATGAGGAGGAGTGAAAACTGTCTTCTCACGTCACCACAATTGATAAATGTATCCTCGCATCCCGTTTCTGGGATCTAACCCTTCTGATGTTCCCCACCAACTGAACTCACCTTATGTCGTCTGCTAGCTTCTGTTGGGCTAGCTGGGGAATATTGACAGACTGGGAAGTGTCCTTCCTACGTGACCTGTTCTTCTTTCTGTTTCTTTTTAGCTGAGATTGGGGATTTTGATGAAGCCTTGGACAGAGAGCACTTAGCAAAAAATAAATACATACCTCAGCAAGACGCACTAGAGGACAAAATCGTGGAATTTCACCATAACCACATGTAAGTCTCATTCTTGGCTCCATATTCCCTCTGAGCCGGTTCTCTCTGCCTCCAACCTACATGGGTGTACATCCCAGCCACCCCCCACAGAAACTGTTGTGGAGAAAAACACTAAGGGTGACGGAAAAAGATCACAGAGGCTCACTGGGATGTGCTGATTCATCCTGGGCTCTCAGAAGCACAGGTCGCCGGTGCACTGAAGCCTGGAGCTTAGGGATGCCCAGGCTTTGGAACCAAAGAGAAAGTAAGAGCAAAGGACCATCCAGTTATCATCCTAATGAGAAATTGGGAAAGAGACATGGTTACCTTGGGACAAGGTCAGAGTATCATAAAAATCCAGAACCTTTGTAGCATCTCCATTTTTGTTTTTGTTTGGATTAATAAACCATTTTCAGAGGACTCATGGTGCTTTTCGTTGTTGTTTTAAGGAAACATTGGAGCCTGATGGCCATATGAAAAAGTGTTCTCTTGAACTTTTTTTTGCAGGTTTAGATTATTGAAAGCAACTAAAATCTTGTTTTAACGCAGTGGTGTTTTGCTTTTATATGACCTTAAAGGAAACTCTTTGAGATTCCCCCCCTCTCAAAACAAAACAAAACAAAACTGACTGAGTCTGGAGACTTTTGGGGTTTTATGTTCCAAGAGCAATGGACCTTTTGTCCTAGCTGCTAGACTTTGGGTTACAGTGAATGGGAGGTTGAGTGTCATCTGATCGGGTAGCCCCAGTGTTTGTGGTGAAATGCCTTTTTATTTCCCAAGAGAAGCTTCTTAATCTCCAATTAACAGACACAGGGAATTCAAATCTCCTGGCCTTTCTCTTTAATTTTTGTTTTGTCAGTGGACAAACACCAGCAGAATCAGATTTCCAGCTCCTAGAGATTGCCCGTCGGCTCGAGATGTATGGAATCCGGTTGCACCCGGCCAAGGACAGGGAAGGCACGAAGATCAATCTGGCCGTTGCCAACACGGGAATTCTAGTGTTTCAGGTGAGAGCCTTGAGAACACGGCCCGGTTCCCTCGGTGATAGAGAGAGAAGAGGTGGCCCTTCAACTCTGATTCATATTCAGTGGGCCAAGACCTCTGATTGTTATTTTGCGGCGAACAAAGAAAAATTAACCTCATCTCAGGCTTTCTGTTTCCCAGGCCCTCAGCTCCCAGATTCTATTTCACTTACCTTTGCCCTGTTTGGGGAATCCATATTACAGATTTGTTTGGTTTTATTGACTTTGTAGCATCACAGAAACATGTAGCTCTCCATGGACCTACACTTAGAACACAGTGTAATGGAATCGAGACTTTAGGTCCCCGAATAAACACCTTTTTCACACTTACAGATGATACTTTGCTGTAATGTGATCCTTTTTTTTTTCCCCCAAACCCAGTTTGGGTTGAGCCAGCTTATTTGGTTGGGACTTCAGATATACTTAAAGAGTGTTAGGCACACTTTTAAGATATAGCAGTTTTATAAATTCATAAAAGCCACATTCTTGCAATTTTGTAGCAAAACACATACTGCACTTGAATTCTTACGTGTATTCTACTTAAGGACATAGTGATTCTCTGCACTCTAAAAGGTGTGCTCTGTTGATCATTCTGCTATTGGACTGTTTCATTGATCATTGCTTCTCTCTTAATAGCCTTATTGAAGTATTGCTGATGTACAATAAAGTGCACACACTTGAAGTGCATAGTTCAGTAGGATTTTATTATATATGTGTATATCCTGTAAAATTCCCAACAAAACCAGCAGAATGAACGTATTCACCCCCAAAAGACGGTTCAGTACATTCCTTTTCAACACAAGCGGGTAACCTGTGCTTTTAGTTTCAAATGGATATAGAGAAAGCACCTGCCTTTGTCATGAAATGGGATCAGATTTCACCCAGTTATGAAGTTGTAAATATGTTCAGGACCTAAAACCCTTTTTTGAGCTCTTCCAGGTTTGCGTATATTTCCCCCTCATCTTTTATCAAAAGAGTTGCAGTGATTCTGTGTTCATGCACCAGAAGTTTTTGACAGCATAATTATTACAGAATCACATCCCAAGAGGAGTTAAGCCGGCTTCCTACCAGGTGGTAGGGAGTGACATTGTGAGAGCAGTGTGGTAGTCAAGGCGAATTTTTTCTCGACAGTTTTTGACCTGTATGCATAGCCTCTGAGTACCTGATAAGAGAAACAACAATAGGCTGGGCGTGGTGGCTCACGCCTGTAATCCCAGCACTTTGGGAGACCGAGACAGGTGGATCACCTGAGGTCAGGAGTTCGAGACCAGCCTGGCCAACACGGTGAAACCACGTCTCTACTAAAAATACAAAAATTAGCTGGGCGTGATGGTATGCACCTGTAATCCCAACTATTTGGGGGGCTGAGGCAGGAGAATCACTTGAATTTGGGAAGCGAAGGTTGCAGTAAGCCAAGATCGCACCACTGCACTCCAGCCTGGGTGACAGAGCAAGACTGTCTCAAAAAAGGAAAACAATAAAGCCAAGTGGAGTTTTCAGTACTATCATTAAATTTCAAATCATAACCCTGAACCACTTCTAAAAAGTATTAAGAAGGAAAAGAAGTGTCTAACAATTGAATTAATGTGCTTTGATTGTGTTTGACACAACCCTAAGTACTGGGAATACCTGGGTAATGTAGTCACCTACAAAGCCTGTGTCTTGGAACCCACCTTCTTGCCAGTGCCTCATTGCTTCATTCTTGCCACGCTGAATGAACAGGCCTGGTGTTCCATTGGGCTCCAGAGGAATTCTAATTTCAGCTGAGACTGGGCAGACGGGAGTTGGTATCCAGCAGCTCCCCATTGTTTCTCCACCTTGGTTGGAGACAGTGACTACCTGGCTGCCACACACGATGAGGATGTGTGAGCCCCACCCGGAGACTGTGCTGGCCTTGAAGACACACGGCAGGCCTGGCCTCCCATCCTCAGTTCTGCCGGTGCTATTGGAAGCTGGGATGGGCCCAGGAGCCAGACCAGCGTAGATGAAGCAGGGAGTTGATTGCAAACCTGCTGAATGTCAACCATAGCTGCCAGGAAGGCGTGTGCTTGGAAGTCTCTTTCTGCCGCATTAAATGTGTCATTTGCGGCAAATTAGAAAATATCCATGTTGCAGTTTCCATGTCTATAAAATGAAAATAATAAATCCATCTTGCTGGATTTTATCATATAAGGGTTGTTAAGATACGCTGTATAAAGCCCTCAGGATGGTACCTGGCACTTCATGAGTCCTGGCAGCTAATGATTGTGGTGGTTGTCATGGTTTTTATTTCTATTTATCTTTCTTCTCATCATTACCTTGGCTAGTTTCCTCTCTCCCTAGAGGTAGACTTAGTTTGAATGCCAAAATCCTATAATTAGTGAGAAATAATGATCCAGGAACAGGTATCATCCGATAGCCACAGATCCTGTGAGTTCTCTGCAAAAGGCATCTCTACTGAGCAATCTCCTGCCAGCCCTCTTCCTTTAGCTCCCATAAGCAAAGCAGACCAACTTGTAAGTTGCTTGTTATGCATTTCCTGGCTCACTGCTACTGTCTTTCTTTTAGGGTTTCACTAAGATCAATGCCTTCAACTGGGCCAAGGTGCGGAAGCTGAGCTTCAAGAGGAAACGCTTTCTCATCAAGCTCCGGCCAGATGCCAATGTAAGTGGTCCCGGTGGGACAGGAGACCCATTGAGCCATGGGATGGCATGTGTCCTGCAAAGGGTGGAGGTCTGCACTTGACAGGGCTTCCACTGAACCTGTGGCCAGTGCCACCCAGGTGCTTTGGTCCACATGAACGCCGAGCATCTCCAGGACAGATGTATCCAAATGGTCGGTAACTCCAGGGCTGCCATCATTGGTAAACAGAGAGCGTAAAGGAGGTACACGAATGTGTACCTGGGGAGACGGTCATTTCCCTGCACAAATCCAGGCAGCCCCTCCTGACAAACAACCTGGGCTGTGCTGTTGCTGCGCATCCAGCCCCAGGCTACACCTGGAGACCCCGTTCAGTATCCTGCCCTACCCCAGGCATAGACTGACTTCCCCAATCCCTGCCGGAGGCCCTGAGCCCCCAGTGGAACTCATTTGCATGGGCTAATTAGGTTCCCTTCCCCACTTACTTCCCACAACACACCTATCGCTGTGACCCACGCCAGGACTGGGACGGGAAGGGAGGAGCAACCTCTTCTTTGTCTGCCGGAAATGGTGACGGAGGAGGTGGGTTATGTGCCCTGGGCGTCTGTCCCCAACCAGCATGTAGAGTTTTTTCCCATGGCAGAGAAGATGATAAATGGCAATCGGGCTTATAGTTTAGGTACAATCTGCGTTCGGCAGGCTTTCGTGGCCCAACCTGGGAAGCATTTACCCATTTTAAATGGTTTTCCATGGAAAAACTCACTGGATTCCAAAAAGCTGCCTTATAAATAAAGCACTGCATCACAGCTTGTTTGTAAGTTGGATCCACCCATAACTGTGGGATCCCCCAAAATAGTTGGAACTGCTGGGAATGCTAAGGACGGTAGTAACTTTGATTTATATAATATGGCCACTTCAACTGGGAGCAGGCAATTTCTACATCCCCTTTCCAGAATCAAAGGGCGTGATTTTTTTTCAGCCGAGAGTGATACTTTTGTGCTCCAGAAAAAAAAAAAAAAATGTCATTTTCTGTGTAGTTTCTGGGGTGGCCTGGAGCCCGGAGCCATGGAGACTTTACAGAGAAACCACGTAAGAGCCAATGTTGACACGAAGTGTGAGGAAGAGGATGAACGTTGCATTTCAGTGATTTTAAGGAGGCAGGAAGGGACTTCCAGTATTTGGGTTTTGTTTTTCAAGGAAACGTAAGCAAAATAAACATAATTTGTACATGAAATCTGTCAAAAGATGGTGTCCCTTCCATTGAAGCCACGTGGCTGTTTCTGTTACTCATCTAAGAGATTCTCTGCGGCAGAAAATGATGGACTAGGGACTGCATCTTGTCCTTAAGAATAACTAGAGTTTAGTAAGTCTTTGCATTGATGGTCATGCTATAATAAAATACACAGCGAAAACTTTATTGGACAAAGCTATCTTCTGCCCATTTTCTCCTGTTTCAGTGACGTATCTGTGGGTAATGGAAAAAACCAACATTGTATTTTCCCTTTTTAGAGTGCGTACCAGGATACCTTGGAATTCCTGATGGCCAGTCGGGATTTCTGCAAGTCCTTCTGGAAAATCTGCGTTGAACATCATGCCTTCTTTAGACTTTTTGAAGAGCCCAAACCAAAGCCCAAGCCCGTCCTCTTTAGCCGGGGGTCATCATTTCGGTTCAGGTGAGGTCGCCACTTCGTGCCTCCATTTACTGGGTGCATGTTTTTCCTCCTGCCTCTCACAGCCGCTGTGACACACAGCAGGTAGGGGAGGTGAACGCTCATTGGCCTCCGGGAGCTGTGACCAAGTGGGGGCGCTTGTGTCGTAATCCGAGTGAGCTCTGTTTGAGCAGCAGAGAGGCACTAGGCAAAGCCACCCAGTCCTGGTAAACGCCTAGCGGGAGTCTCAAGGATTTCCTCTCTCTGTAGAGGTACAAATATCTTATTAACATTTGGTGTTGCTTCATAGCATATGTGGACTTGCACGTTATTGGTTAACTTTTCCATTCATTTTTAACAAATCATTGTCTGCCATGTGTCAAACACTGTTCCAGGCTCTGAGCCCAATGATCCCTGCCTTCATGAAAGGTACACGTTCTTGGGATGGTTGCTTAGTAACCAAACACAGTTATCAAGTGGGCTTAGTTAACTGAACATTTTTTCTGTATATTCAAGGAAAATATCAAGAGACTGAATGGACCCAAAAATACAGAGTCTGTTAGGATTGCTTTTAGTCCTGGCTAGCCGAGAAATCCTGCATCTCTCCCAGTTAGGGAAGGAGGGAAAGTGACGCCTCTGAAGCATCATTTGCGTGTTTAAATGAGAATATCTTGGTATTTCTCCCCTTCCCTGTTGTGGTCTCTGTTTCAGTGGTCGGACTCAGAAGCAGGTTCTCGACTATGTTAAAGAAGGAGGACATAAGAAGGTGCAGTTTGAAAGGTAAGAGAAGCTTTGATGCTGCTTCTAGTCTGAGAAGGCTCAGACTTGCCAGGTAATGTTTGTTGCTGCTAAATATGTCTTCACCCAGACTTCAGACTTGGTGTCCCTTGAGTTGTAAATGACAGTCTCAGTCACCCTCAGCAAGTCCAGCGTTAGAGATGAAGGTTTTATTGCCCAGAGACATGCCCTGGAGAGTGGGATGAGATACAGACGAGAGGACCAGGGGAGGTGGGAGAGGACATTAGTAAGGGGAAGGAGAGAAGGGCTCAGGATGTCACCGCAGGGAATGAAGTGTCATAAAAACTAGCTCAATGGTGAGTCCTTCAATATTTTGGGATTTGTACTGAAAGTATGTCTATGAACGTTTTAATTAAGTAAATCTGGATAAGCAGAAACAGGATTTTTTTTTTTCCTCGAAACAGGGTCTCACTCTGTCACCCAGGCTAGAGTGCAGCACTGTGATCACAGCCCACTGCAGCTTTAGCCTCTGGGACTCGATCAGTCCTCTCACCTCAGCCTCCTGAGTAGCTGGGACCACAGGTGCCCACCACCACTTGTAGCTAATGTTTTGTAGAGATGAGGTCTCCCTATGTTGCCAGGGCTGGTCTCAAACTCTTGGACTCAAGCCATCTTCCCGCCTTGGCCTCCCAAAGTGCTGGGATTACAGGCAAGAGCCACCATGCCCAGCCAGAAACAGGTTTTATTACTGTCGTTGTTGTTGTTATCAAACACTTACAGCCCTTCGTGTGTGCCAGGCTGTTCCAAGCACTAGGCCTGTGTGAACTCATTGAGTCTTCACCTCAGCTGTGTGACGTCAGTGTTCTTTTATTCCCTTTGTAAAGATGGAGACACTGAGTCCCCAGCAGGTAAATAAGTAGCCCAGGTCTCACAGCTGCTAAGCAGCTTCTGGCCAGCCAGCTCCCGAGCCCAGTGCTCCAGGACGGAGCAGCAGAACCTGAGGAGGGTAAAGGAGCAAAGCATGGGGCCTCAAGCACTAGTTAGTGCAGGTAGGGTCTTTAAAAACCTTTTTTCATTTTCATACATTTAAAAAATTATAATAAAGTACAGAGAAGTCAGCAAACACCCAGATTCCTACTACTTAGAATTAACAGCCATTAACAGCCGGACACATTTATTTCTGGGGTTGTTTTTTCTTCTTCTTTTATTTGCAGCTCTTGTTACAGACATGGCAAAACCCCTTGAACCACCAGCTCTGGTAATTTCCCTTCTCCCCTCCTCAGAGGCAGCTGCCACATTTCGGCTTCTTTCTGTATGCATATTACTGCATCCCAGCAGAGTGTGTGGAATTGCTGTGGAGGCCGGGCACTGTGGCATATGCCTGTAATCCCAGCACTTTGGGATGCCAAAGTGGATGGATCACTTGAGCTCAGGAGTTTGGGACCAGCTTGGGTAACATGACGAAGCCTCATCTCTACCTAAAAAAAAAAAAAAAAAAAAAAAAACAAGAAAAAAATTAGGTGGATGTGGTGGTGCACGCCTGTGGTCTCAGTTTCTTGGGAGGCTGAGGTAGGATGATTGCTTGAGCCTGGGAGGTCAAGGCTGCAGTGAGCCAAGATTGTGCCACTGCCCTCCAGCTCTGGGCTACAGAGCGAGATCCTGTCCCAAAAAAAGGAATTGCTCTGAGTGTGTTCTTTTCATTCATATTAGTACTCTCGTATATAATTCTTCATCTTGCTTTTTTAATACTACTTTTTTTTTTGAGATCTGTTTTAAGGGCCACACAGTAAGTAGTATGAAGATACTGCACTGTATTTCTCTGATTCCCTATTGAGAACCATCCAGGTTATTTTAGTGTTTCATTTTGATTTTGCTGAAATAAACCTGCTTCTGTGGCCATCCCTGCGTCTTCCTTCTACCGCAACTCTGTGATGCTTTCTCATGCCCTGTCTCCAGAAATGTCACGTTCAGGAGGTTTTTTTGCAGGCATGTCTGGAGATGAATCCCATCATTTTCTTAGACAGTCAATGGTTAGTATTTGAAGACCATGTAAGAAGTAGCCCAGTTCTCTGTTTCAGAATGTGGATCTCTAGAGCTTTTCTGTGCTAACCTGGAGTATTTTGAAGAAGAGCTGGATGTATCTGGGAATAGAATCTATAAAATTTCAGGACCTGAGCATTTGGGTGCCTGTTTGATAGGGAAAAGGGGAATAGGCGGACTGAGAGGGAAGAGATGAAAGAGACGTGTCGAGATGCTGTTAAAGTCAGTTCCTTCTGCTATTGAGGGCAGGCCTTTTCCTCTGAACTTACCACTTTGATAGAGTGAGCGGATGAGTGGTAATTGCCTCTGTTATAGAACTGATCCAGAAAATAATTACCTAAAGTACATGCATTGATTTCGTATTGTTAGACCATTGCTGGCCATTCAGAGCATGGAAGGGCCCAGCCTCGTCCTCCCTTCTCTGTGACTTTCCCCTTAACTAGAAAGGTCCTGCTCAGTTGCTAAATGTTTCTTCACCAGCTGCACCATGAGAACTGCCACAAGGGCTTCTGAGAACTTCTCCAAGATGTAAATAACCCTTGGGCCATGCAAGTGCTATCAAAGGATGAGTGCGTGTCTGTTTCCAAGTAGCATTTGTAAAGGCGGCTCTGGGTACCATCATTATTGAGGAAGGCACTGATGCGTCCAACAAAAGGACCTTTGTTTCATTTAAAACAAAGAAAAAAGAAACAAAAACCTCACCTAACATTAATGATCTTGTGTGATTTTTCCCAGGAAGCACAGCAAGATTCATTCTGTCCGGAGCCTTGCTTCACAGCCCACAGAACTGAATTCGGAAGTGCCGGAGCAGGTCAGTGACGGCGCTGTCCTATGATAACTCTGCTCTTCCCCACACTTCCTCCACGGAGCCCTGGGCTTCATAGTGGGCTTTCTGGTTCTCCGTCCTTTCCTTTCGGGTTTTTAGCAGATGAGAATCTGATTAGGGGCCTTGGCTTTGACCAGACATAGGCTTTGTGCCATGTGCCCGCAGCCTGAGCTCAGAGACCCTGGAGCGTGTTGTGTTTTCAGCTGCCTTCTGATCTCCCATGCGGCACCCTAAGCCACTGAGAACTCAGCTCAGCAGCGGAACCATCGCTGCAGGAGGCAGAGCTGAGACCAGCTCTCCAGCTGAATGGGTCCACGTGGGAAGAGATGAGGACCCGCTTTGTAACCAATGGGTGTAGTTCCTGCCTGGTGCCAAGGCCAGAAGCCTTTGCTGGCACAGAACTGGCGGGCGAGTTCCCAGAGCTCGTATTACGGGGCAGTGACCACAATTGGCAGTAAGAGACATTATCACTCTTGCTCTGAGGGTGGCAAAAGCTCGTTTTCCCTGGAGTTGGTCTCTGGGTAAGTTTTCAGGGCTTTCTCTAGAAGAGAAAAGAAACTTGGGGAAGAATATGAAGGAGGTTTCGTCGTGTGCATCCAAAAAAACCCCTTTCCCCATCCAGGCTGCCCTGAGAAGTATAAGTGTCCTTTGTCGTTTTTCTGATGACTGTGTCAACTTGCCTTCAGGGGTCCCTGATGTGCCTGCCCACCCTTCCCTGGAGACCCCCTGTGGGCTGGAAGGGCTGTCTTGTTCCATAGAAGCTTTACAAGCCCAATATGAGCCGGGCGTGGTGGCTGGCACCTGTAATCCCAGCACTTTGGGAGGTCAAGGCGGGAGGATCACTTGACCCTGGAGTTCAAGACCAGCCTGGGCAACAGAGGGAGACCCCTGTCTCTATAAAAAAATTTAAAAATTAACCGGGTGTGGTGGCACATGCCTGTGGTCCCAGCCACTTGGGAGGCTGAGGTAGGAGGATCGCTTGACCCCATGAGTTCAAGACCAGCCTGGACAACACAGGGAGACCCCATCTCTACAAAAAAAATTGTTTTTAATTAGCCGGACATGATGGCGCAGGACTGTGGTCCCAGCTACTTGGGAGGATTGCTTGAGCCCAAGAGGTTGAGGCCTCTGTGAGCTGTGATTGCACCACTGCACTCCAGCCTAGGTGACAGAGTAAGACCCTGTCTACCCCTCCAAAAAAAAGAAAAGAAGAGCAAACCCCAGCATGAGTCGGTGGGCCCTGGAAAGCAGAGACCGGGCCTGGCTTGTGCTGCCAGGAACACTGCTGTCAGCCGCCACGCCCAGAAGGAACCTTCTGGATCACGCCCAGATGTGCTTCCCTGACTGCTGTTATGTCAGAGCGCTTTGGGGCAGTCCTCCCGCTGCAGAGGCCTCAGGTGTTCTTCCGGGAGGCCCTGACTCTTCTGTTTTCAGCCTTGGAGTAACAGTCTCCCTCTTCTCCATCTCTCTGCACCTTTTTCCCCACCCCCCCCAGTCTCAGCAGAGCGCCAGCCTTACATTTGGAGAAGGTGCCGAATCTCCAGCGGGCCAGAGCTGCCAGCAAGGAAAGGAACCGAAGGTTTCCCCCGGGGAGCCGGGGTCGCGCCCGAGCCCTGCGCCGAGAAGCCCCGCGGGTAACAAGCAGGTGGACGGAGCCGCCTCGGCGCCCACAGAGGAAGAGGAGGAGGTCGTTAAGGATAGGACCCAGCAGAGTAAACCTCAGCCCCCGCAGCCAAGCACAGGTCCAGCATCCCGGGCTGCCAGAGGCAGCAGTACTTCCATTCCTTTCATTGACTGCAGTGACGTAGATAGTGAATACGACCTTCTTAGAGAACAAGCGTCCCGGTCCCGGTCCCGGTCCCAAACAAATGACAATTATGAGGGTGATCTGACCAGCGGTGTCTATCTGCTGTCCAGGGACGAGGGGCCAAGAGAGGCTAGGCGTAGGGCTTCCCCGCACTCTGCAAAGTCCTCCCGGCCTCCTTCCAGAGAATTCCTTGATGACGATTCAGCAGACATAACCTTTGATATGAGCGGGAGCCCTCGACTCCCGAGGCATAGCTCTCTCATAGATGAAATGTTCAAGGGCTCTGCTGGTCACAGCCCCCTGGCCACCCCATTGTCTCCCAGCAGCAGAAGTTCAAGTCCAAATATGAGTTGGGACAGAACTGGGTCTCAAGGCTATGTTTCTGAAAATGGACATGACCGTAGAGAGGGGAGTATGGGGGAAGACCCTCTCCCGGGCCAGGGTCCGCCTTATGAACGCTGTTTCCCCACCTCGCCAAAGCCATACTTGCGGAATCTTCCTGGTAGATATAATAAGTCAGAGACAGATCCACTCATCCTTAGCCAGGTAGCGTTTACCCCGGAGGCCATGGATGGGCTTGGTGGCCGTGGGAAGGGGGGGCAAGCCAGTACAGCTGCTCCCGAGGGTAGAAGGCTGGCTAATGGCACCACCCCCGTGGGTGCAGCCTCCAAGGTCCCTGCCATGCAGTCGGTGTGTGCCAGTGGCATAGCGGGGCAACTGGCACCTCTGCAAGTGACCGAGGGCTCCACCAGCAGTGGGACGGAGTCCAGCGAGTCAGACTCTGAGATGCTGAGCCCCAGGAGCCAGCCCCTCGTGTTTGGTAACCCTGCAGTGCTGTGTTCCCCGTCCCTCCTGAGAAGCCGGGGGTCCTTGGGTGGCCTGTGTTTGAGTGAGGAACAGGAGGAAGATGAGTGAGGAGGCCAGGAGGCAAGTCTTCAGCCCGAGCAACCTGGGGTCATGAGACCAGGGTTTCCCTAGAGCTGATCTGTTCTAGTGACTCATTCATTTGTAGTCTACATTTGTTAGAGGAGGTTTTGGACAGGCACATGTTTGAAAGGGTCTGCCTGACTTCTAAAAATCGTTAAGAAAAACACAACTTCACATAAGTGGCTTGCTTTCCAGAAAAGGTGGACAAGATAAACAGAAAGTCCTAGTGACAAGTTCCCAGGAACTTGTTTATTTTGCTGGTTGAAGGCTAGGAAGAAACACTTTATGATGTATCTGATCATGTGTATAGTGTGTTATATTTATGTGGCAATTTTCTGTGTATGTTCAATTATGCAGATCACCTACCCGTTGGTTGAGAGTTTGAAGCATTCTTGAGATTACAGGAAAGGGATCGGTTTCCCATTCTCCCCTTTTTTAAAAGGAGGGCTGCTTTGTCCATGCCTCATGAAGTGAGGAATTGACACTATTCAAGGCCAAATGTAAACTGATAGCTAGTTGAGATTGTGTTGGTGAAATCTTTAGTCAAGAATAATGAATATTTTAATGGGAAGAACTGGGGGTTATTTCTGCTTCCCAGGCTTCCTGTGAAATACTAGAAAAGTTGTCAAATCTTCATGAATTGTAATCTATTTGGGATTGCTGGTTTGGTTTAGGTTTGCATTGGTGGATCATATTGTTATGTTTTAAGAAGTACAATTCTGCCTCTCAGAATCTCTTGGTGAGACTGAAATACTGCTGAGCAGGATGCGGGGAAGAGTAACACCTTGAAATAGGCACTGTTGTCACCAGTAGGTTAACAAACTAAACGCCTGCCTTTGAATTGTGTGCGGCGCAAAGGACTATTTTCCAGCTTGGTTGCTCTTGGTTGGTTTACAGACACTGTCTTACCATTCACACTCTTGTGAACAGTGTCCTCTGTTGGGAATAGTGATACTTGGATGTTTCTCTGAGCCAGAAAAAAGAAAGTGTAAGGAGAGAGAGTGACTTCTTTTTAAATCCTGCCCACCAGTGTCACTGCCTTTCACCCAGCATTCCTGCATTTTAAAGAGCCTGGTTTTCACTTGAAGTTTCTCTGCCTTAGCTGCACGTTGCAATTTTCTGAGATATTTTAAAAATTAGTGACGCCGGGACCCTGACCCTAGGGATTTTGATCTCATTGGTCTGGAGTGCTCCTTGGCCTTCCCAGCTGTTTGTCCTGGGCAGCCAGGGTCACTTCTTACCCAGGCCTTCTCGAATCTAGTGGAATACAGTAAAAGTGTTAGCTAAATTTTTGGCTTGCTTGCAGAATAAGAAAAATATCGCAAACAAACTGCTTTTTCTTGATGCCTGTGATTTGCACTTTTCAGCCTTAGGTACTTTTTTTAGGGGAAAAAAAAAAAGGATAAATTGTAGAATAAAATTTTTAGATCCTAAGTAACTACAAAATTATTGAAAAGAGTCCTAACAGTGATAGCTCCCGGATGTGCCACCATACCAGGGCCTCACTGGGCTCATCACGTGACCTGATCACAAGGGGAGAACCAAGCATGCTTAGGACACCGAGTAGAATTTGGCAGCAGCGTAGAAAATGGAGGGGTATTGGCTCATCTCATTCACAAATGAGTATTTGTCCACATGAATGTCCAGAAGTCGGTTTTAAAGAATCTGAACACTTAATCCGTTTTTATACAGACTTTTTTTTTTTGGTTTTCCTAATCATTTGATTCAGTGCCTGATTGAATCAAGCTCATTGTTGGATCGTTTGAGAGTTGTTCATTGAAGTAGTCTATTTACGTCTTGCTTTAAATTTATGTATTTAACAGAATCACAGAATTTTTTAAACTGGAAGGGACCTCAGAAGTTCATCTGGGCAAACCTTCATTTCTTGTTCTGAAAAAGTTAAGTGACTTTGCATAAGTAATACAGCTATTGCATGACAAAACTGAAACTGTAACCTGGTCTCTAGACTTCACTTTTTTAGCCTATGTGATATCTTGGTGCAATAGGAGCTTTTTGATTCAGTATTTTAATTTTGGAGAGTCTTACATGAATTAATAATTCAAATCAGATGTGGAAATGAGTGATCGAGTAGACTTAGGCAATTACAGGCCATAATAGGTGGGAAGAACTACTTCTTTTTATATTGTGGGGGTTTTGCAGTTATAACACATTTTTGCATAATCCGTTCAGACATAGAAAGAATGTCAATTTGCTATATGAGTGTTTAGTGAAGTGTGAGTTAAACAGAACCCAGTGTGGAATCCTGTGGTTTGTGAAGTGGTTTGTTCAAATGAATTTTCTTTTCCCCTCTAATTATACAGCAGTCTGATAATGAAATACCATTGATCGCTGGGTATGAATTTACACAGCCTATGGCAGGAATCATCAAATATAAGCATCTCAGAGCAAAACACGCTTCAATCATTATTTTGTTTTGCTTTTTCCTACAGCAGTGATTTTTATCTAAGTGTTTTAAGAGCAGTTGATCAATGGCAGTATACTCAGTTCTGTGTTGACAAAATTTTTCACTCTAAGAGTTGCTCGTAGAGTTTTTTCCTCATTGGCTTTGTACCAGGCAAGCAACTCAATTTCTGCTTCTTGGCCAGTATTTACAAAAGCAGCAATCCTGGTGTAATTAATGGTGCTTATAGTTTGTTTAAAGGCTGTTTATCATACATCCTGATGTGCTGCGGACAGTCACTACTTGCCTCAAGAGGAGCTTGTCCTGTGCTAATAAAGATTCCATAACATTGGCCAAAGAGTCCATTTGTACATTCTTTGAGCCTGGTGGAGCATGTTTGCTGAGCTGATGTGGTCTCTGCAGTGTCACTGTGACGATCTCAGTCAGGAAAAGCCAGCAACATCTACCATGCCACCCTCCATGCCTTCTGACTTTGGGGAGACTCCAGTCCTCCAGGTCTTTACTCAGCCTGCAGATCTCATTCTAGCTTAAGAAGGGCGTGCGTGTGCATGGAGTTGAGCTAAGCGTGGAGGAAGGCCAGAGGTGGGGTTGGGTGGGATACTAGGCAGCAGATATTAGAGATTTCTGAATGTATTCAGATTTCCAAAGGGTTTCCGAGACTTCTCAACCAATCTTTCTAGGACAATAGCTAGTGTAGGGGTCTTCTGACTCAACAGGGGAGCCAGGCCTTCCGATACCAGCCACTCACTAGCTGCTCTGTGACATACTGTCTCAAGACCATGCATGGAAAACAAGCCCTGTATAAACACAAATCTTAAAGCCCAGGGCCTCCTTGCGCTAATATCTTTCGTTGGACATTATGTCAAAATATGTAAATTTTAGACCCTTTTGTGGCTGCCTTTGCTGCTGCTTGTTAAGGGCAAAATAAAAACGCAAGAAATTCTTTTAGCATGAAGAAATGCTTTTAATGAGCTCCAGAACTCACAATAAATGGCTTCAGCTCCTTTAACAGTCATCTGTGTGCCATTGACAATATTTTATTAGATAGGTGTTTAATTAGAGGAAGTCTGGGGGCCGGATTCCTCCCTGCATGTGTGATTCATGTTTGGGAATTTCTAATTTATCTCCCCCAATTGTGCCAGGTGGCCTGCACTTGAAATGTAAGTAATTCTGATTTTATTCTCGAGAACTTATTTGAAGATTGAAGCCAGGCAATGCTGAAAAAAGCTAGACCTGCAAAACTGAAACATTAGCACGAGCCTCTCAAAATTCCCACCAAATATGCAAAGTCCAGTCTGCTCTGAATGTGCATCCGAAACTCACCTTTGGTTATTAGCCCTGGAATTTGGTTCCAAAAGCAAAAATTTGGTTTTGTTGTCAAGCAATTTCTAAAGGAAGAAATAATGTAAAGATCAATCTGTCATTTTAAATGTTATTGAAACTGCCGTGAGTGTGCACACTGCTCTGTTTCATACCTGTAATCAGTATTCACAAGCTTTCAATCTACTGTTTCCACTTAAAGCATTAATTATTCCGTAGTTCAGCACAGAATGGCTTTGGTGAAACTGTAGCTGTTAGTGAGTAAT